TATAGTTATTATTGGTACTTGTAACTACATAAAGTAAGTTAAAATATATTGAAAATTAATTAATAAATCAAACATATGTTAACATAATTCGAACATACTTACCCATTTGGAGAGTACCTTGTGTAAAATAAATTAAAAATATTCTTCTGTAAAAGACCACAACAGAATTCTAATACAAATACTTTTTAGTGACATGAAATGTTTTAAAAGTTATACCACGCTGAGACGCTGATGTACATCGCGCTATTTAGATTTCAATCAACGGATTCCCTTAACATCAGAGTAAAAACACTTTTCTATAAATAATAATCTATGTATCATTTTTTAAATTACATTCTTCTAGTAATGTTGACTTACACCAAATGACTTACTTGATTGTTAATAATAATATTCCCTCGCGATCAAATGAAGAATTAAAGACAAAAAAAATCAAGATGACTAATGATGATAACTGTTGACTTGGAGAGTATTAATCTTTATTTGTCGTATAAAAACATCCTGACAAATAGATAGAATTCTTCTATATACTTGACACACGCAGTCATATTTTGGTCCAAGGCATGCCGAATACCACGTTTTCCTTTACCGTACTGAGCAGTGGTTAAATGCGTATATATATATAATAAAAATCCATTGGTGTACAGTCGTAATTCCAACGCGAGCCTAGCCACTAAGCCAACACTGCTCTTATTTATATTGTATATTACAGTATATTATACAGTAATATAAAATGTTGGTTAAAACATTAAGCATTTCACGAATATTATGATTGCCCTTAGAAGGACCAAAATTTCAGTGTATATAAAGGAAACCCATTTATGTTTCTCTTAGTCTTCTAAGTGTTTAGGGGGTTTTTTTGGTACTGACGGCAAGTTCTTTAGTGCGTTGTGAACGTTTACATTTCTTCCAGTGGAGTGGGTATCATTTTTCATTACAGCGCCACAAAGAGGGCGCAACGCCGCCCACAAAAACCCCCCCCCCCCCCCCAAAAAAAAAAAGGGGGGGGGGGGGAAAAAGGGGGGGGGGTTTTTTTTCGGAAAAAAAAAAAAAAATTTTTAAAAAAAAAAAAAAATTTTTTTTTGGGGGGGGGGGGGGGGGGGGGCCCGGCGGGGGGGGGGTTTTTTTTTTTTTTTTTTTTCCCCCCCCCCCCCCCCGGGGATATTTTTCCCCCCCCAAAATTGTGGTTTTTTTTCCCCCCCCCCCCCCCCCCCCCCTTAAAAAAAAAAAAACCCCCCCCCCGGCGCCGCGCCCCCCCCCCCCCCCCTTTTTTTTTTTTTTTTTTTCCCCCCCCGGGGGGGGGGGGGGGGGGGGGGGGGGGGGGGGGGGGGGGGGGGGCGCACAAAAAAAAAAAAAAAATCTTTTTTTTTTTTTTTTTTTTGGGGGGAGAAACACCCACACAAACCGGCGGGGTTTTTTTTTTTTTTTTTTTTCCCCCCCCCCCCCCCCCCCCCCCCCCCCCCTTTTTTTTTTTTTTTTTTTTTTTGGTGGGTGGTGGTGTAAGTTCCTTTTAAAATTATACTGTGTATTAATTGACGTAACATTAAATAATTTAGTAGAGTACTAGTTATGTGTTAACTACATATATATTGTATTATATTTCTAACGGTGCGTACAGACTATATAACATAACATGTTATACAACATTGCTTTATAAAATTTTTCATAATTAAGGGACACGGATTTTTATAAAAATACATTTTTTTTTTCCCCCCCCCTTTTTTTTTTTTTTTTTTTTTTTTAAACCCCCCCCCCAGGTTTTTTTTTTTTTTTTTTTTTTTTTTTAAATTTCCCCCCGGCCCGCCCCCCGCCGCCCTTTTTTTTTTTTTTTGGGGTGTTTGGGGGGGGGGGGGGGGGGGGGGGTTTTAAATTTTTTTTTTTTTTTTTTTTTTTTTTTTTTTTTTTTTTTTTTTTTTTTTTTTTTTTTTTTTTTTTTTTTTTTTTTTTTTTTTTTTTTTTTTTTTTTTTTTTTTTTTTTTTTTTTTCCCCCCCCCCCCCCCCCCCTGTTTTTTTTTTTTTTTTTCCCCCCCCCCCCCCTTTTTTTTTTTTTTTTTTTTTTTTTTTTTTTTTTTTTTTTTTTTTTTTTTTTTTTTTTTTTTTTTTTTTTTTTTTTTTTTTTTTTTTTTTTTTTTTTTTTTTTTTTGATTTTTTTTTTTTTCTTTTTTTTTTTTTTTTTTTTTTTTTTTTTTTCATTTTTTTTTTTTTATAAAAAAAAATAAACCCCCCCCCCCCCCCCCACACAAAAAAAAAAAAAACACCAAACACCCCCCAATTTCCCATTAAAACCCAAACCCCCCCCTTCCCCCCCCCCCCCCCCCCCACATTTTTTTTTTTTTTTTTTTTTTTTTTTTTTTTTTTTTTTTTTTTTTTTTTTTTTTTTTTTTTTTTTTTTTTTTTTTTTTTTTTTTTTTAAATAAATTTTAATTTTTTTTTTTTTTTTTTTTTTTTTTTTTTTATATTAAAAATTTTTAAAAAAAAAAAATAAATAAATAAAAAATTTTTTTTTTTTTATTTTTTTTTTTTTTTTTTTTTTTTCTTTTTTTTTTTTTTTTTTTTTTTTTTTTTTTTTTTTTTTTTTTTTTTTTTTTTTTTTTTTTTTTCTTTTTCCCCCCCCCCCCCCCCCCCCCCCCCCCCCCCCCCCCCCCCCCCCCCCTCCCCCTTTCTCTCCCTTTTCCCCTTCCCCCCCCCCCTCCCCCCCCCCCCCCCCCCCCTCCCCCCCCCCCCCCCCTCCTTCCTCCTTTTTTTTTTTTTTTTTTTTTTTTTTTTTTTTTTTTTTTTTTTTTTTTTTTTTTTTTTTTTTTTTTTTTTTTTTTCCCCCCCCTTTTTGTTTTTTCTCCTCTCTTTTTTTTTTTTTTTTTTTTTTTTTTTTTTTTTTTTTTTTTTTTTTTTTTTTTTTTTTTTTTTTTTTTTTTTTTTTTTTTTTTTTTTTTTTTTTTTTTTTTTTTTTTTTTTTTTTTTTTTTTTTTTTTATATAATTATTTTATCACGTCAAAATATATTTTTATAACAATATGTTTAAAAGGATTCCTTATATTGAAACATGCACTTCTATTTTGGCAATGCCGATGTATTTAGCAAGTAGTAATGATAAAATTTTAGGTAGTAATGTGCTGCTACCGTGTTATTCTCTAAAATATATAACAGTGTAAACTCTATATAACGAAACTCAAGGCACTGTGCATAATTTGACGTTATAAAGAGTTGTCGTTAAGTTGAAAGAAGTAAAATCTGTATAAGAAAAATAAAAAGTCTATTTCAAACTAGTGTTACTAATAACATAAAAACAATTCTTATTTGAACGCTATTGCGTAGTATAGTCTGTTATTTTAGCCCGACGTCTTTTGCTGCTTTAATTTAATTAATATCTTACGATATTGAGGCATCTTCGTGATATAGCAAGTGCAAGCACAACCCCAACTTGTAAACCAAAGAACAGATTTCTTAAAAAGTTTGGTACGTATAATGCCGACAGTCGAGATTATTACGGACTAACAACACAATAAAGCGACAAAAGAACGTACTCCTATGTAGAGTGTATCATTGTATGAAAGACAAGCTAAACCAAGCAAAGCCGAGTGATTTCGACGCTTTAGGGCGGTTGCCGTTAAATCGAGGGACGTGACATGGATTTTACAATAATTGTATGTACCTTTTTTTTTCACTGATCATGGTATTAGCACCCAGCAATTTTTTTACGTAGCGTTGTAAACATGGATATAATTAGTTCAGTGTGATACTTTGATAGGTACCACAACGTTATCACGTCAATCATCACAGCATAAATAATACCTATATATCAATCAATAGCAATTGCGACGGTGTGAGAACGTGGTAAATGGGCTTCGTTCGAGACATTTCTGATATTTATAATAAAAGTAAATTTCTGTCTGGTATATTATTGTTTATGTTACCTTGTCAATTAAATCTAAATAAATGAATATGTGAACTAACGATTTTAACGGGTCCACAAGATGCTATAGCCTTTTTTGGACATTTTAAATAGGGCAAAGAACTAGTATCATTTTTTTGCATAACATTACACTTAATGTGTAAAAATTCGCTAAAAAGTTTCGGGAATAGTATAAGTTAATAAAATATAATAATAATTTTATCTAATACAAATTTATTGATATATTACAAATGAATTTATTGACTATTCAAACAATTGAAAAAAAAAATTATAGAAAAGAACTAGTTCAGGAAAAAATCAAAGAAGGAACATGTGTATTACAAAAAGCTATTTTATTTTAGAAATTTTCAAGAGAAAATGACATTCTAATTGCACTACGCACTGTATATATATATATATACATATATATACGCAAAGTATCATTGAAACTTTTATTTTTACAATTATATTCTTTCACGGCTTTTTTTCAAAGCAATTCATGCTCGGGCATAATTTAATAATAGAAATTTAAAATTTTCTTACGTCTATTATAAACCTAAATTGAACCTAAATAACTACTATATTAGTGCAAAAGTAATAATGTACCTATTCAATTGCGTTTAAACATTACAAATTTAGTTATATGTTATAGTCGGAGACGATGAGAAACTAGTTATTATATATAAATTAACTTTAAATATAAATTAAAATTTTAAGTATAACACATTGAGAATAAAATCGCCTGTTACTATAAGTTACTGTAAGGTAAAAGTGACCTATACTTATAAATATCTATGGAAAGTACAATCGTACTCATTAGGTGTTTATGTCGTGTAAACATAAATCATTATTTTTCAAACATCGCTTATTTTAACTAATATTTAAGATTTAGTGTATAATATGAAAAAAGTCATGATTACGTCTAATTGATCGCAACGCACATTTCGAATTATTCCAATGAAGTATTCGGTTAGTGAAAAATACGGGAACGCATTAAGTAACATTGCTGAATACGGATAAATTCGTATTAATAGCAGAGCCCTTTGAAGTTAGTCCCTAACCAAAACTTCCTCGAAATACGCGCATCACGAAGTTCGCGACGTCATTAGAATATTTAGAAACGACGACGTTTGTTTGGGTAATCGTCCATTGGGCGTCCTTCCCAAACTCGGTTCTGCGGCATGTCGTCAAAACCTCCACGTGGCATGTCGAACTGGTCTCTGAAGCCTCCGTCCTAAAGTGAGCAATCACAAAAGTGGAAATTCTAAGTGTCTAAGATCAAAATTCAAGTTTAAAAATAAAATTTACAAAACTAATACACGGCATTTAACAACTCCACCTGTCTAGATTATTTATTACAATTGCTTGCTTTTTCATTATCGTCAACTATTTTCGCCTCGATTTTTAATAAAATCTAAAGCAAATTAGCAGTTTTGGCATATCTTTTCTGTCGTTTCGAGGTCGAGTTAATTTTTTATTTCTCGATTTAGAATACATGTATCAGTAACCAACGTGCCCTATGTATGTAAACTACAATTCATTACCCCATGAGAAAATTTAAAATAATTATTTATAAGAAGTCCCCGAAAGAGGTCGGTATCTGTTAACACCCACCGGATCATATTGAAAATTCCTTATGTAATTCTATTAAAATACTGTTTGTCTATTAAAATCTGATTGTCATACAGATAAACACTTAATAGATTAGTATAACATCATCATTTATTATATTATTGGACGCGAAAATTTGACGCAAAAAATAACAAGTCATGGTTTCGGCCCATTTTTAAAAGTAGTATTTTATACGATAAACAACATTTTTAAAAGATCACTATTTCGATAAATAAGAAGGCTTAAATTTCAGTGTTAAATTCACGTTTAATATTATTATTTATTATATCGAATCAAGGAGACTGAATCTGAATGGTAGAAAGTAATTTTCACATCGATTTCTGGAGTTAATAAGATCAACATTACGGTGTAATTAACATACTTTCGTAATCAGTCCTTAAGAAAATAAGTATATCACGAAATTGATAGTATTGTTGGTAGATAAATTTGATATGCTGTACAGGTACAGTATGTGCAAAAAGTATTTCGGTGAAACACAATACATGTAGTAATACAGAATTCAAGCCATGGCCTTTGCGCAGATAACTACAAATAAGCAGAACTAAATGATGACTAGTATCTCATTAAACATTTTTTGTCTTTATCTACCAGAAGCGCACTTTCAGGTGCATTCGATTTTTTTATAAAAGATCTCCTTAATAAAGTAAATTTATAAAAATGGTGTCAATCACCGTTGATTAGAGGTTTTCAGTATTCATCCGTAACACGATATTGTATAGATAGACCAGAGCCAAGTGAGTAAATGACAATGGCAACTCAGCAACACAAGACCTTTGAGGACTGTTTCTCCAAAATATTGCTTCGCACTTCGCAATATTGACAATAATCAAGCTTAGTCGTTTACTGTTTTAAAGATTCTATCAAAATCAGGTAAATGTTATAAACAAGACAATTTAACATCTTGTTCAATTAAGTTAAGAACCAAATCAAATGAAAAAAGGGTATTAGTTTGCTAAATAAACGTACCGCGATAATGGTTGAATAATTCACTACAACGTGAATCTTTAACGTCGATAGTCAGTAGAGTTGGAATATATATGAGATATATAATATCTTAGTATCCGACGAGACACTTTTTTATTTCACATTTTTATAGTTTTACCGTTATTTTTAGTTTATATTTTTTCCTAAGTAAAAAATTCCTTCTTTATAATACGTGTTGAAGATACGTGCACTGAGCAGAAAGTATTAGTAGTTGTGTACTAGTGTATGTACTATCCGTCATCATATAACCAATTATTATTATATCTCATGTAGAGAAAAATATAGTAAGAAATGTGATATTAGAAAGTTCAGTATTAAATAAGTACAGATTTAAGCCTTCCACAATCTACTAGTGTTCTTTAAAACATCGTTTACGTATAAAATATAAAATGTTTGTTAGGTATGTTATTTTTTATTTATAGGATATTTTTGTGAACAGATTCAATATAAATGTTGTAAGTTTTATAAGATATCAATTAGCTTTATTTTAAAGGTCGTAGTCACTACTTATTCTATAATGCATATATGTCATAACTAAATAAAAAACAAGAAGTTCAATTTAGCTATTAGTAATAAAGCTAAATTTCAGTAAAATTGCCCAGGTAATGTCACATATTCAGGCCGTTCTGTCAAATTTACTAAATAATCCTTTATGTATAGAGAACATTAAATTATGAAATCATTAATTGTTTGGAAATTTAAATAACTAGGTACTTACCATTGGTTGCTGATTGTCAAACATGCCCTGTTCTTGACGATCAAGCATTGAGTTCAGTCTTTGAGCCTGGAATAAGTATGTATATATTAGTCCTGAAAATGTTTTAAAAATGTCTTCCATGAAAGCAATATTAATTCTGTGATTAACTAGGTGAGCTATTTGAGTTCTACCTGCTTTTTACAAGCTTTACCCCAGCGGGTAAAGAATCGGGATGTCTGTCTCATTGACTTTCTAAAACTTTTGTATACTTTTTGGTATTTGTCTATGGGGGTGTAGTCTATTAGTGAGTTTCTGCAGTATGAGTTTCCTAGTGTGAACCTAGGTTATTAAAAGCGTGTAAATGTAAATAAATAGATAATTTACTTATTTTCTAGATTACGAGTTTCCCCATAATTTCTAGGGTCTATAATTAAGTTTTAAGATTTGAGTAATTAAAAATGTGTAGAAACTGCAAGAAAATCCAACCTGCACGAAGAGTGTGTTCTCCTGCTGTCTGCGCCGCAGCTCGTCGTCCTGCAGGCGCATGCGCTGCGAGAGCTCTTCCTCGTGCCTCATGAGCTGCATCCTCTCTGTCTCTCGGCGCTCGTCCGCCGCCCTCTCCGCCATCTCCCAGCTGCGCTTCTGCCGCTCCCTGTCCTGCTCGCGCTGACGGAGCTGCTCACGGAGAAGTTCCGTCTCGTGCTCGTATCTACATATTGTATTCGCATATCATGAGAATCCCGATTGGAAAGGAAAATTAAAACGCGCCAGTATTATAGAAAAACATATTTTACTATACATGTATGTAATATAGGCTAAAGGGAACATAAAAAAATATAAACTTCTTAATTTGAGAAAGTTTAGTTAGAAAGTTATTAAAACACAAGAAGACACAGTAGAATGCTAAAGTTAGTTGAATTTCCACACATTGAGTTATCATTAGATGGAGAAGTGCACAGAAATATTAAAACATTAAAATTTTCTATAATGGGACGTGATAACTAACAGCTAAAATAACTTACTTGGCAAATTCCATCTGTGCCTCCAGTTTCTCCTCTTCGGCAGCGAGCTCTTTCTTGAGGGCTTCCTCTTTCTGGCGATGGAGCTCATGTAACTGCTTCCATCTTGTTCCATACTCATGTTCAAAGCTTCCAGCTTCAGCAAATCTTGGACCGACCTTACACAAGAAAATAGGTCTTAAAACTAATAAAATTTATACAACTTCACAATACACAAAAAATGTCTCTTTAACATAATATAATATGCAATATAAGTATGTATAGACAAAACTATGTTCTAAATAGTAGTAGTGAATATAAAACTCCATTATTTTATAAATACAGAATATAACAAAAACAGTTAAAATTTCTTTTTTTATAAAATGTACCTCTCTGGCTTTTAAATATTCTGGATGTTTTTTAGAAATATTCTTTTCTGGAAAACCATCAAACTCATCAGGTTCTTCCAAGTTTTCAACTATGACCGGCCGCAATGATCTGTAAAAGATTAGGATTTACAAAAACCATTTACAAATTTCATGTTACATTTGTACAAAATATTACGATTCGTTATTTTGCTTTAAAAAATACTTACGATGTTAAAAAGAAGCATCGTTCAGAGCAATTCCTGATGGCAGCGAGAGCACTGGGTTTTCTGGAGAACTCCACTATTCCTTCACCCAATGTTTTCCCTCTTTCATCCACCCTCACATATGCTCTTTCGATTTTTCCGAAAATTTCAAATGCCTTGTACAAGAGTTCATTCGAGACAAATGGCGGTAAATTCTTAATTCGCACGGCACTGTTGTGTGGAGCAAACCGCACTCTCATAGATCTTCCATTCTTCATTTTACCATCTAATTCACGTTTTGCCTTCTCAGCATTAACTCTGTAATCCTAAAAGCCAAAAAAAAGCACTGTGTTAATACAGTAAAGTAGGTTGCAAGAAAATAATGAGCTGTTTACCATCTCATAGAAATGTACATACCATTTTAATGAAACCAAAGTTCTTTTCCTTATTTAAGAACAACTCTGCAGTTTCTCCAAACTGGTTAAAGAGATTAAGAAGTTCTTCTTCTGTTACATCATTGCAAAGATTACCAATATACAGTCTACTTCTTCCGTTAAACTTAACTTCAGGTTGTTCAATGGTTGGCAATTCGAGGAGGGGCCCCATGAGGTCCTTCAACTTATTAGCCAGCATGTGTTCCTAAAAAATCAACAAATTATAAAACTATGAAAATAGATGTACCTTAAGCTAACCACCTAGTTAAAAAAATATACTTTACTAGATTTTGCTTGAGATATCATTGCAATGCATACCTCTCTTTGTGCTGGTTTTCCATCAAACTGGCCCCCAGCCCAATTGTTAGTCCTCTGTTGATTACGAGCTGGGCCCTGTCCAGGTGGGCCTTGGCTTTGTCCTCCTTGGCCTTGGCCTCCTTGGCCTTGTCCTCCTTGGCCTTGTCCTCCCTGACCCCTATTGAAATCTCCCCTGGGACCACGCTGTTGTCCCAAATTACCTTGCTTGTTACCTTGGTTACCTTGACTCCAACCACCTTGCTTCCCAGGGCCACCAAAGTTACCATTAACATTCTGTAACATGAAATAAAATATTGTTATTTATTATTCTGTAAATCTAAAAATACTTAACAATATTTTTAATTAAATATAAAAACTAAATTAATAATAAATAAATGAAAAAATCCCCTAAGTATAAGAAAATAATTATTACCTTTTGGAAATTAGATTGGTTGTGATTGATGATAGGTTTTGTTTCATTAGGAATAGCCTTGTCAACATTATCTTTAGACTCTTGCTTCAGGGCAGAATTCTGGTTTACTTTTGGTGTTTGCGGTTCCTGTGGTTTTGGCTGAGTCTGCTGTGGACTAGGTTTTTGATTTTGTTGATTTGGCTGCTGGTTGATAACCTCTTTTTCTTTTGGGGCTTGTTGGGTAGCCTGCTGCTGTGGGGCCTTGTCTTGAGTTACTGGCTTTACCTGTAAAATTAAAATTTTAATGTCTAACTTAAAAACTTTACTTAATTAAATATAACTATAACTTACTTACGTACTTACATACTATTTTGGAACATATCATGAATATATTTAAAACAAAAAGTCAGATCCAAGTTCAAATCCAAGAACTCCAAATATGTTAACATTAAAAATTAGATTACTGTAAATTAGTTTTTAAAATAGCAAGTAAGAATTAAAGTGTTACTTATTCTACCAAATACCTATGAATCAAAAATTTTGATAGTTTTGATATGCTTTAAGTTCTTGGCAGTTTCTGGACTAGATTAAAATTGAAATAAAAATGTACCTACAAAGCTTTCAGATGCAATTAAATAGTTGACAAGATGGCGGCCTCATTTATTTCCATTTAGCCGCTAACTATGGACTCCATACACCACAATGTTATTAAAAGAGAGTAAGTAGCCAAAGCCGCCACGTAAATACCTCATTAGGGCGTTGACCTCCTTGTTGAGACGAATTTCTGTGATTGTGTTCAAACCTAGAGTTTCCTCGAAAGCCTCCACCTCTGTTTCCACGACGCCCACCTTGTCTTTGGGGTTGGGGTGGGCCACCAAAACCTCTGTGTCCAAAGTGATTCATAGCTTGGCCTTGCATTAGAGCTAAAAATTAAAACGCATTGAAAATCATAGACGCCATCGCGTCTCATCATGTATTTAACACAACTGGTTATTAATAGTACATACCTTTACTAAAACCTGCGAGGCAGCAATGAAACCGGTTTACAGAAAATTGTTAAGATATTTAATCACATAAAAAGGAGAATAACTATTTAATTATAATTAGAATACAAATACGCAGCAAGCACATCAATTACAGTGAACGCTTGACACTAAAATGGCGGCGTAAGGCGTTTGGGAACAGCGGAAATGCGAAATGGCAGCCGGAAACCCGGAAAGGTTTTTTTTTTTTTTTTTTTGTAATTTATTTATTAGCCGGATACAAAGTCCATTGGCACATCCCGGAAAGGTTGAGGCCAAGTGTTACTATATGAAATTATAAAATTTGGCAAACGCTTATTAAGATTAGGTAAAAGTTTTATGGTGTTTTTATTATAATGAACGTAAATTTTGTATTAAAATATGTATAGATCAAACTTAACTATCACTGTAATAGAAATAAAATCCATAGAAATAGATTATTGAAGTTTATCTGTGGTTATGCGGATCGCATATTGCCTTAGATGACGTTAAATGTCCATTCATCAATGACCTAAATGAATATGCTTCATCTTTATTATTCCTGTCACCTGGGGCCTAACGTCGAAGATGCCTTAAACAGTCAAGTATAGTGTCGGAAACCACACAACTTGAATTTGAATGGAAAATGACAAGTTCGTGTCAAAATTTAGTTTTCATACCAACAATTTAATGTTTTTGACGTTCTACATTCATTATGTTAAGGCATCTTTACTATTTCAGTCACATGGTCACTCTATCGTACGAATGGCCTAAGCATTAGCCAGTCAGTTTAATAAATGTTACAAGCGCTACGGCTGAATATCTATCATGCCGCTAGTTAAACGGCACTGTTTAGTTAAAAGGCTAGGCTGTTAATGAAACGGCTACTTAAACTAGTTGGCACTTGGCTATGACATAAACATTAAGCTGTTGCGAGCTAGCAGCGAACGAGATTTCTGACTCTAATATTATTTAATTTTCGACAAACAAATTTAATTGTTTACCTTGTAACCGATGTTAGACGAGATTTCCTAAAACAGGGTGGGGAGGATATTTCTCAAAAGCCATCATTTATGGCTAGGTCTATAGGTCTTTTATCAACATGTGCAAGTTTTTTACTTACAAGATTTGAACCTTGAGTAAAACCCTGGGTGATACAATAATTAAATCTAGTTTCAAAAGCTGTAATACCATTAATTTTGTATATTTGACAGCGCTGAATGGCTTAAGCCACATCTCTCAGCGCGATTAAAACCCCTGAAGTTTTTGTTGTACACTCGGATTGAGAGGTATTTTCAAATATGTAACAAAAATACATTCAAGTAGTATAAAATAGTATAAAATTTCGATCTTGGAGTATTATAGCATATTATAGTTATAGCCATGCTTGCTGTTTACATTTGGTTTAATTTGATGGTAGGGCTTAATAGAAATTATATAGAATGGTGCGGTTTATAAGAAAAAATAAATAAATACCCCTCTAAATAAATCTAGCTCCGAAAAACCCCCAAGACATCTTCATTCCCCCTCAATTTGTAGGAAAACCCCGTCTAATTTAAATGATTTAATCTGTGCCATAAAATATTTTAAAAAAAATTGAAAATGATTTAAAAAAAAAAAGAAAAAGAGATTGTTATAATTATAAATAACAGTCAGCATAAAGTTGAAGCTGTTGCCAAAAAGTTAAAAAAAAAAAAAAAATAACAGTCAACAATACAGACAGTATATAATCAGTATCTTTTAAAATTAATCGACGTTCGACATAATATATTTCATGTAAATTATTCAAAAATCTAAGTTCTAATGGATGACGGTGATGGAGAATACGCTGCTATAGAGACTAAATATCCATTGTTATCTTTTGAAAAACAAATATTTACTGATACATTTGAAAAGGATGCTCTTTTGATACTTGCTAAGTTAGTTAACTTTTTTTTTTAAATTCGTATATTAATATTTCAGCTAGTAAATTCTAATGTTATGTTTATGTTAGGAGTTTATTTTATACGTATTATTTAACTATTTTTTTTTCAGAGGACTTAATTATAATAATATTATATCAAATATCCTTTGGGTTTATAAAAACCCGGCCAACCTTGTTTTGGTCTTGAATAGTAATGAACATGAAGAGAAGTACTTTTCTGAAAACTTTAAAATATCACCATTACCTAATACGGGAACAGAAAGGTAAAACTATGTTTTTGATCATATTTTAATTTACAGCTATTCATTCACCATATCTCAATGTTAATTATATATAAAATGTCTCCCATCAAATTTTATTTTAATTTTACATAAAATATTTATTATAATAACTGCATACTATGTTGTTGACTGATTAAATGATTAGTTTTTCCCTATTATCAACCAATCCAGACTATGGAACCCGTTGTGTAATGGAAGAGTTCTCACTATAGTGATTTTAGTAGTGTCATTAATCTTACAAATTAATTCAATGGCTCAAATTTTAGAGAGAAAGCATATTTGGAAGGAGGCTTATTCTTAGCATCCACAAGGATACTAGTAGTGGACTTACTAAAGAACCGTGTGCCTGTGAAACATATTACAGGAATTATTGTATTACGAGCACACACAGTGCTTGAATCCTGTCAAGAAGCATTTGTTTTGAGGCTTTTTCGACAAAATAATAAGGTAAATAAGTAATTTAATTTAAAGAAACTAACCCATACCTATGGTTTGTTTTAGTAAAAAGATAATACAACTAGGAAGACTTGAAAATTTAGCAAAAATGTCTATACCTCTTAAACTGTATTCACCACTCTATATAACATTGGATCAACATTTCTTAATCAACTCTTTATTAAAAGTCCTATATAATATTTTCAACAAGTATCTCTGACAGGTGACAAGAAATTTAAGGCGGTTTCAGTAGTAATAAAAAAATGATGTATTTCAGGCTGGTTTTATAAAAGCATTTTCAAATTCACCAATATCATTTACATTTGGGTACAATCATGTAGAGAAGGTGATGAGAGCCTTATTTGTTACGGAATTATTCCTTTGGCCTAGGTGAGTAAATAGAAGAGAAATCTTGTATCTCTCCACATGATATTTTTTGTTTTTTTTCTACCCTCCTATTATTGCTAGATAGATGATGTAATCCTTTTTATTTTTATTATTAAATTAAAATGTTTAAAAGTTTATACATATACGGTCTTACTAATAAAGATTTATGCACATTGTATAAGCCTGTTATAAGAAAAATGTTACTAATAATTCCTGAATTGACAAGTTTGATGTATACGGTTGTTATAACAAGTGTCTGGGTTGTATGAAGACTTGTACAATGCTTATACAACGCAGAGGCCTAGTTTAACGGGTGAATAAGACAAAAATGGGGTCATTTGATCTGATTTCGCGTTTGACAGCATTTTTGACTGTTCAGTTCAAGGAAAGATTTAAGTTAGTAAGTATTTGTGTTTGTTGAAAATGGATTTTATCGATGAAATGGAAGATTTAGATAATATTGATATGCAGCTAATACATGAGGTGGAGGGTTTTCAACCGAGTTGCAGGTGCTCATCGCTCTAAGGACCTGGAGTCGACAAGAGGTAATATTATAACCTAAAACTTTCTTATGTACTGCTCCTTAGCATGGTACCATGTGTTAATTTGAAAATAATGTTTTTATACTTATAACAGGTTCAAGACGATGCTGCTGATTTACACGGGGTTAGTCAACAGTCAATCACAAATATATGCCGAAGAGTAGCAGAAGCCCTCGCTAGGAGAAATCAAAAATTTCTAAAAATGCCTGCAACAATACGTGAACAGGAAGAGGTATCTGCAGGGTTCAGAGCCATAAGTGGATTTAGAGGCGTTATAGGGGCTATCGACTGCACACATATTAGAATGAAAAGAATTGGTGGTGAAAGTGGGCAATTCTACATAAACCGGAAAGGGTTTGTATCCCTGAATGTACAGTGTGTGTGTGATGCAACACTGCACATTTTGGATGTCGTGGCACGGTGGAGAGGCAGTACTCACGACAGCCGTATCTTCAGAGAGAGTCAACTCAGACAAAGAATGGAGAGTGGAGAGTTCCAAGGACGGCTTCTTGGCGATTCAGGCTATGCATTGACTCCATATTTATTCACACCAATTTTAAATCCTAGTTTACCGCAAGAGGAGGCATACAATCATTCCACATGAGAACAAAAATACAATAGAACGGTGTTTTGGTGTTTGGAAGCAAAGATTTAGGTGTCTTCTTCATGGCTTCTCAGTGTCATTAGAAAATGCCAAATTATATATAGTAGCACTGGCAATCCTCCACAATATTGCTATTGACATGAAAGAAGACCTGGATGTTACTTATGATGACACTGAGAATGCTCCAGAAGAATCAAAGCCAACTCGGACGCCCCAAAGCAATCAGGCTGGACAATAAAAGCAGCTCTAGCAGCTGCTTTTATTGAAACATATTTTTAAGGCTGTTTTATTTACATAGGTGTGGATATTTAAGGACGTGAAAGAAATAAAAAGTTATATTTCATTTAAAACATGGGTTTTATTTTTTTTATAAGTATATAAGTTATATTTTTAATTTAATTTCTGCTGTAATAATTTGAGCCTCAGAAGATGTTCCTGTCTAGCCCATTCGTGAGCTTCGGCAAGTTGCTTCTGTTTGAGCTCATGGGTTTCCGCCATCTGCCTCAGTTTTGCTTCGTGCTCTTCCTGCAAACACTGTAACACTGCCGTATTGCGGAGTTTGGCACTTTCCACTATTTAAGATGCCTAAAAAATTTAATTATGATCGTTGAGGGCTTTTGAATGAAATAGTCCTTTTCTCTATCACATTAATACCAACGTCACCCAACTTTTGTACCGCAGAACGGGGCTTTTTATGTAGAATTCTAGTCCTCTTTGTCTGAGGTTTTGGACTTTCTATGAGCTGCAAATAATAAAATGTTATTAGTATATTAGGTAAATGTGTATATAATTGTTTTGGTAGATAAAATAGTACAACTTACATTAGAATTAGGAGTTGTATCAGAATTATTAGAATCCAAGTTACTAAGTAGGGTAGGTTTTATTTCCTGAAAAAAAAAGGATAATAATAATTATCTAAATAAGCTATTCGAAATAATTATTCTAAGCAGATACATTGGATATATTTTCATTGCAAATTCACCCCTATTGCAACTGACCAGAGTGGACGTGTGTATCCACTGATGTCACGTAGACTGTACTAACAGTGGCACTTACTATTTGCGGTGCATCACTATCGAATTTGTTTTGGTCCACCTCAAACTCCAGTGGCAGCAGTTTTACCAAGTTAATGGTGTCTTCATCTGGACTCGATGGTCTGCTGCCACCACCAGTTTTGTTTTTGGCAATGCGGTGTTCACTCATTATTTTTTTGGCATCCACTTTACTCATTCGCCACTGTTGTTTTAGCTCCACTAATGCCCGTTGTCTTACGTTGAGCTCATTGAACCTGAAAGCAAATTTTTTTTAATATAACTAGTTTAATACCTACATTATAAAGTATATATTAAGAATTACTTAATCAACTCTGTTACAAACCTTTCATACACCTTCAGCCAAGCATGATATTTCCGTTTATTTGTATTTGTGTTTGTACATTTGTCTTCTATTATATCGACGTAGTCCGCCAATACCTCCCTCAACAGCTTCTGTAGCGCAAGAATACCATTTTGTAAAGAAAGCCGGGTACATAGATGGGTGGTAAAAAGATAACACAGCACAAAATATAATGTAATTATAGTATTATGCCAATTGGACAATATCAATAACATGTATACATAACATAACTTGACCTACCTTTTCCACAGTTTCCCAGTTAGGGGCTCGCACCCTTTTTACTTTATTTTCTGTACTCATTTAATAATTTGAGGCTTTGACAACACAAAAAAAATTCATGTTTTTTCAATCAAACGTCAAACAAACACGGCGGTTGCCAGGGTAACAATAAATAAGGGTCGTTTTGTTATTCAACCAATACACATCGATTATTGGTCAAAGAGGTGTTTATGCCCTGTACAAGCTCTATTCACTGAATTACTATCACCTTGTTATAACGCATGTATAGTGATTTTTTATTAGTAAGACCGATATTATATATACATTATATAACACTTAAATAACAAAATCCTATAAAATACCTATTTGTTATCTTTACTTTAAGTCTTAGAAATGCACTTAGAGTTCCTGTATTTTTTCAGATTTCATGGAAATATAATAAAGTGCCTAAAAAGCAGACAGGCCCAAGTTGAAGAACTTCATGTGCCTCTCACATCCAATATGAACAACATACAGTCCTGCTTACTGGACATTATGAACTATACTGTTAAACAGCTCAAGAGCATCAATAAAAATATAAATTTGCAGGTATTTTATTATTCATTATGAAAAAGAATATTCAGGCTATTTGAAGGTACATATGCCATAGAGAGTCTGTTAAATTGTTTGCGTACAATCACAAGGCATTATATGTCCATGCCCCACCATAGCTACTGTTTACTAACATAGCACCTAAGTCTGAATTGCTAAGCAAATAATTAAGGATGAAAAAATCCGTGGTACTACAACCTCTTTAAGTCTTGGCGTCAAATTTCTGAATCTGATTCATGATGATTTTTAAATCTAATAGGCAAGTAGGTGATCAGCCTCCAGTGCCTGATACACGCCGTCGACTTTTTGGGTCTAAGACATGTCGGTTTCCTCACGATGATTTCCTTCACCGTTCGAGCAAATGTTAAATGCGCACATAGAAAGAAAGTCCATTGATGCACAGTCGGGGATCGAACCTACGACCTCAGGTATGAGTGTCGCACGCTAAAGCCACTAGGCCATCACTGCTCATTTAAGCTCAATTAAGGATGAATGGACTGAAAATAAATTAAAAATTAAGACAAAATTGTTTGTCTATCTGTACTGCCTTTTTTGTGTTCACTCAAATATATATTTTATTCTACATACAACGTTTTCTGTATTAAAATAAAAGCAAAGATCTCATAACTATTCTTTAAACGATGATTTGTTTCATAAAAGTTTTTACACACTTTTGTAACACTAAGCTTTTATTTAAATATGATCGTTTTTAGGAAATAACAACGGAGAACTGTATCACAAAGAAATTCCATAAAATTCTACAATCACAGCTGGACTGTGTGTGGCATCAGCTCAGTACACGAACTAAGGAGTACATACAGGATCTGAAGATTTTACGAACTATGATTATGTAATGTATAATAAGTATAAATAATAAGTCTTGTCCAAGTCCTTTGCAATCTTGTTAATTCATATAAATTAAAAAAGGGTGCGTGTACTTATGTACGCGCGTAAGAAGTTATACTTCTTTGGAATTATTAAAAATAGTTTTTGATTGCATGCAAATAATTAATTACAATTAAATAATCAAAGACTGGAAAAGGAGTCATTATAGTCAATAAAGTTCAGTTTATATTTGAAAAATTAAATAAATAAATATTTATTATTATTCTCTTACATTGAGTGTAACATAAATTCTATTATTATTCGAATGTTGTTTTTAAATTATGTCCAATGCCGTAGAATCTTCCGTGGGCAACTTCATTCTGTTAATTTTGTGTCACGGTGCGCGGGCATCGTAAAATTTCACTCTCATCAATTTTTCATAACGGGCCTAAAGAAGTATAACTTCAAAAAGGGATAGATGTCGCATCCACATGTATTAAATTATAAGTAAATAGCGTTCAAGTATTAAGTAACGAATTTTGGGAGGGGGGGATCCTTTTGTAAAACTTTACAATGCGGGGCGGGGATTGAATTTCGAGTAATTGTTAATATTATTTTCGACTTTCCAGTACTTTACACCACAGAATGGTAACTTTTAGGTATAAAGAGTCACTGGGTGGTCACGAAACGTTTTACTATTGGGTACAGAAAAACGTTACGGCGCGTAACATCGGGGGTGTCAATAATCTCTAAAAATTGCGTGCCGTAATATTTGTTAAGTTAGTGGTTATTTCCAGTAATTTAATACACGATGACGCAGTATCGTTCTATGCGTTAGTGAGCAAATACAGGACTCCTGAGTATGCCCAAGTCAATTCAGGATGGATACTTCTAGACTCCGCCGAACATTTGTTTCGATTGGCAAGAGGACGGGTGTACAATTCTAAAAATGGTATATTTTTATTCTTTAATCAAACTTTCGGAATCAGATACACTACATGGTATACAATAATGTGCCGATAATTAAACTGTCCTGATATTGATACCCAGAACGATTATAAGCAGACCAACGGTTCCATGTATATTACGTATATCCATGTTCAGCGTGAAATTAAACTACATAGAACATTATTAAAATGTCATAACTTTCGACTATAAATTGATCTGAGCATGTATGGAGGCAAACTCGATGTTCAGGAGTCGCTATAAAGTTTGCATAAAAAAGAAACCTTAATAATGTTTGAATTTCTAAAATTAGTGCTTTTTCTCTTCAATTTTTTTTTTACTTTATACCATGTTTATTTAGATAGTCTAATTAAGGGTTTAAAATAAGGGCGTGTTGGCTTCAGCGCGCTAATCGCCAGTCGTAAGTCCAATGGGACTTTCTGTAATACTCGATAAATAAACATAAACAAAATGTTAAAGTATAAAAATTGTAATTTTAAACGATACATAATAATTTGCCTCTATGTAAAGATAACTTTTATTTAAAATATTTTAGAATTCGACCCGGAACTTGCACCCAAATGGCAATGTTTGAGCGATTTATTAATAAAAGAAATACCCGATGAAGTTAAAAAGAAAAACGAATCATTAAACAGCACAAAAGTACTAATACTTTGTCTCGATAATAAAACATGCTCTCAGCTAAATCATTTTTTAACTTTGGGCGCGAATAAATATCTATTTTATACGGCTTTTCGACGGGATTTGACTATAAATGCTGTATCTTCGAAGTATAAAAATTTCAATGATGACATTTCCCAACTGAGTGGAGAAAATCCTGAGAGTGAAGCAGAGTTTAATAAGTCGAACTATGTGTTGACCCAAGTTACTCAGCCTGTAGACAATGAAGACAGTATGTTTGAACCAATCACTGAGGTATTAAGATTTTTTTTATGAAAACATTAGTTTTCACACACATTTTGTTTAGTTTTTATTGCTTAGTTATACAATTATTATTAAAGCTTTATTCAAGAATTGGTTAGTAATACAATACAATAACCAAAATTTCAAATATTTATTAGGTGACGGTACTCACTCCGTACTGGTTTAAAAACTGTGTTACTGTAGGAAGGCTTGTAGGTGTACCTACCTGACAAGTTACTTAAGCTTATGATTAAAATTAACCATTTTATGTCAATCCGAAACAATTTATGTAAAGCAGGACCAGTTAAAGGTAAAAGTTTACCGTTAAAGCTTAGGTTTCCTAGAAAAGCGGTGCCGTTAACTAATGGCCGTCATTTTACGGTTGTTAATAACGGCCGTCTTTACTTTTTAACATAATGCAAAAAACAAACATTTTCGCTCGTCCAAGTCACGTTTCCACTCATTGTATTAATTAAATATGGGCACCGCTACACGCGAAAAACGTTGAACTAATGTTAACCACCGCTATGACGGCCGTCATACAAATGACAGCACCGCTATTTGACGTTACGGTGACACTCAACGTTCTCTAGGGAACCTACTCCGATGTTATTTATAGACAACGTATGGGTGATGTCACCCAACGCTACATTACGGCCGTTAGATAACGGCACCGCTTTTCTAGGAAACCTAAGCTTAAGCAAATGCCTTTAACGCTGCGACGAGGCGATATGTGTCCATCACAGAAACCTTTGACACCAGACACACCTTTGTGGCTTATATGAAAGCTCTTAAAACCGTCCTCATTTGAACCCATTCATTTTCAGATTGAAAACCTAGATTTAACGCAAATAGAAAAGGATAAACCAATTATATGCATACAAACATTCAAACAGAACGGAAATCATCTATCACTTGAACAGACTCTAGAGGCTTTACGACCGGAATACATAATTCTGTATCACAGCGACGTGGCCGCTGTACGACAGATTGAATTGTTCGAAGCCAGGAAGAAGTCAGAGGAAGCCATGTCTAAAGTGTATTTTCTTATACACGATAAAACTGTGGAAGAACAGTCGTATCTTACGGCATTAAGGCGAGAGAAACAGGCCTTCGAGTTGTTGATACAGACTAAAAGTGTAAGTGAAATAAACCTATATTATAAAAATCAAATGTTATTAAACTAATTGATGAATAGGTTTTATTTACCAAACCACAAACAGCGGTGTTAAGTAGGCACTTGGAACTCTGTTACCCCTAATAGTGATAAGGTTGCGAGATCAGCCTCACCTTTTAACGCCCGAACCCAATAACCTATCTCTCTAACAGACCGTGACAGTCGATCGATCTCCTATCTGCATCCCAATAACCAAACCCTACGAAGACAATCCATTTTGGCGACGGATAAAATGCTCTTTGTCGTTCCGTTTTACCGAGACATAACAAACAGCTTGTATCGACAGATGGCTATTACAATCCATCGATTGGTTATTGGCATATGGCCTTTGGATTAAGATTTCTATCTCAAATGGTATCTATCAAAATGGATTGTCTTCGTAGGGTTTGGTTATTGGGATGCAGATAGGAGATCGATCGACTGTCACGGTCTGTTCTCAGATTGTGGATTAATTATTGGGTTTGGGCCTTATCAAAACTACATGAAAAACGTCGGGTTCGGTGTCGCAATCGATATTTTCGGTAAAAAAAATAATTTATAAAATACGACTTAATTGATTATCTTTTTTAATTTATCATAATGCAATTTGTATTAGTTATTGGATATTATAATGCAACAAACTCCCCGTTACAGATAATGGTGGTACCCTCTTATCAAGACGGTAAAACCGATGAATATTTTAATCTAAATGTCGAAGAAAGTGAAACCACAAATGATACGAGAAAAGCCGGTGAGTAGTAATGGTCGTACTTAGTAATAAAAAAATGCATGCATTTTTGTTGAAAATATATTGATCGTATCAATATTTATTATGTCTTAGCCATTTTGGTTATCTGATCCTGGGCTACGGTAACAGTTTTGAATACCATCGCACTTTTTGACGATACTAATTATTTAGGAGTCTCGGAGGACCTTCATTGGAACACCTCCAAGTGAGTTTTGCTCCGGAAACGCGTCAAAAAATTTTATAAAGATTTATAAAGTAAACTTTGCACTGTAAAACTAATTACCGCTAGTCTAGCATAAACCACATTCAAAATGGCCGATTAAGTTTATAAAATTAATAGGGATGTGAAAAATAATCGATTTTTTTAAAAGTGAAAATCGATTTTTGTATTCGATTTTAATATTAAAAATAATTGAAAATTCGGCGACCAAATATTCATATACTAACTCTAACCTAACCAATCTAAATAATATTTGTTTTTGTGGACAGCTCCGATCTAAATAGTAATTGTTTATTCAAGCCTCGGCTTCTCGGCGTCCTGGGGTCTAGCCAAGATGGCTTAACAGTAGTGTATGTAGAAAGTCGAAAACTAAATTTGTATGGAAATGACAGTTCGTGTCGAAAAGTTTTCATACAATTTTAGTTTTTGACGTTCTACATACACTACTGTTAAGGCATCTTGACTAAAATCCCCTGGTCGCCTTCGGCGACAAATATTCATATACTAACTCTAACCTAACCAATCTAAATAATATTTGTTTTTGTGGACAGCTCCGATCTAAATAGTAATTGTTTATTGAAGCCTCGGCTTCTCGACGTCCTGGTCGCCTTCGGCGACCAAATATTCATATACTAACTCTAACCTAACCAATCTAAATAATATTTTTTTTGTGGACAGTTCCGATCTAAATAGTAATTGTTTATTGAAGCCTCGGCTTCTCAGCGTCCTGGTCGCCTTCGGCGACCAAATATTCATATACTAACTCTAACCTAACCAATCTAAATAATATTTGTTTTTGTGGACAGCTCCGGCGCTACGGGAAATGCAGCCCCTCCACCCTTGCGTACCAAAGCACAGGCATTTTATTCAAGCCTCCGCAACCTCGGCTTTTTGGTCGCCTTCGGCGACCAGCCTCAACTCGCTACAGCTTTCTTAATGCCTGTGCTTTGTTACAGCGGGTGGGGGCTGCTCTTCCTCCGCCTCCGATTATTTATATACACTCTAGGGGTAAGACAGACAAGACCACGTGGATAGTGGGTTGCTCTGATTCGGTTTTGGGTACTTTTTGGATATTAAAGTAAACACTTTTATTCTAGTAAAAATTAAATAATATAGAAAGTTGCAAACAATGAAATACAAGTACTAATTAGAAAATACAGACGAGTAGGTATCGATAATTTCAAAAAATTTCGGAACCCTATAATCTATCAACACGAAATTAGGTTAATTTCAATGTTGATTATTCTATAACTTTAAATTTCAAAAATGAGGAAATAATCGATAAATAAATAAAACGATTATTAACAATCGATAAATTAAAAACACGATTTTTTTAAGTGAACGTCACATCACTTATAACCAATAGAAAAGTAGAAAATGGCGGATTGTTTACAAATTTTAATACATTACACAAAACTTTAAATTTTTTATAAAAATATTTAGACGCGTTTCGGAGCAAAACTCACTTGGAGGTGTTCCAATGAAGGTCCCCCGGACACTCCTAGATAATTAGTATCGTCAAAAAAGTGCGGTGGTATTTAACACCCAACCCTTTATCTGATCCTGGGCTACGTTCATGGGAAACATTTCCGAACGCAAAATTTTTTTTATGTTACCGGTTGTCTTGTTTCTTAAGAATACAAATATTTCTGCTTGAATTTTTTGTAGGTGGACAAAATCAAGTTAAAGAAAAGCCAGTAGTCATAGTGGATATGCGTGAATTTCGCTCGGATCTACCCTCATTACTTCATAAAAGAGGAATAAACATCGAGCCTGTCACTATAACAGTGAGTATTTTTTAAACGTTAGGCTGAGAAACGCAAGACTCAAGAATTCTAGTTTATAGACGGAACCTTTGAAAACCCCAATTCTACTTGAGCGAAGTCTAGAGCAGTTACTGTCTTGCTGGGTTTTATATATATTTCACCAAAAGTTAAATTTCAAACAAAACGTTTAACTCGGTAATTCAAACAACATTACTTTATACATAATCTATATTAGTTCTAGTTAATTTTAAGCGATACAGCCGCCCGTAACTCTTATTATTTGCGTTATCTCATTGTACTTTATCTACGTTAAAACATGTCTAATTGGTGTGATTCTAGAGGATCAAAATTGTCCCTAACCAAATTAAATATTTGGTCCAAAAATTTAGTCATCATGTCCTCATCAGACTTGGAAACCTAAATTTACTTCACATAATATATCATATAGTTGTTACAATATAATATAAAATGAACCGTTACAGTTTTGTCTTTCGCTTTGGTTTGCCTATATATATATAAATATACTAGCTGACCCGGCAAACGTCGTTTTGCCATGAATATTATTTCTAGGAAACATTTTTTTAGTTCAATAAAAATAACTATCTACTATAATAAAAAATAGGGGTTGATCGTAGAGGGGTGAAAATTTAGGGTTGTATGTATTTTTAAATGGCACATTATAAAAAAAAAAATATTTCAAAAAATTAAAATAAAATGTTAGGGGTGGACAACCCTTATCACTTAGGGGTATGAATAATTGATAGTAGCCGATTCTCAGACCTACTGAATATGCATATAAAATTTGATAAAAATCGGTCAAGCCGTTTCGGAGGAGTATGGTAACTAACATTGTGACACGAGAATTTTATATATAAGATAATTTCTGATGTACGCCCAAAATATCAATACGATTCTTTGTTATTTTTTTTAGATTGGTGATTATATTCTAACACCAGAGATATGCGTAGAGCGAAAATCTATATCGGATCTAATTGGTTCACTCAACTCCGGTCGTTTGTATACGCAGTGTACGCACATGTGTCGTGCGTATACGCGACCCATATTGCTCATCGAATTCGATCAAAACAAGCCGTTTAATTTACAGGTAAGGGATTATGTATTGTTGTTATGGTTAAAATCCGATTTTATTTGGTGAAGCATATCTTTCGTTACTAAATCACCGTTACAGGATAATTGCCTTAAACTGTTACAATATTTTATCAGTTTACCAACTGAAACAACCTAACCTCGAAGTTGATAACAAGGAGAAAAAGGTATTGTTGGTACCGTAAGCTTACAGTCTCTTATAATGTATATATATATATATGTCTTTTTTTTTAATGTCTCTTATTTAATATATGTCTCTTTTAATCACAACTTTATAGAAATGAAGGAAAGAGTAATTTAGTTAAAAGAGCCGTTAGTAACTAGCTTTGTACTTACGTGTTTAACATTGAAGTTTTTTTCGTATTTAATTACATTCATATTACCTGAACGAGATCGCTTATAACCGAAAGCCCTACAGTGCAAAATTTCTCAAATTACTAATAGTGATTTTATTTCGCCATGTAGCTATATGATTTAAATTGCAGGGTAGTTTCGTAGTGTCCTCTGACTTGTCCGGCGCAGACATACAGCAGAAACTGCAACTTCTCACTATTCATTTTCCGCGGCTAAAACTCGTCTGGTCACCCAGCCCATATGCCACGGCCGAGTTGTTTTATGAACTTAAGGTATTACTAATTTACATCACTAACAAGTACCGATTCGCTATTGTATTGGTTTATATTAAGTTTTGATAACATTTAATAAATTATATTATTAACAATTACCAACAAAATAACTAGGATTAGATCAATATAAGATATCCTACACTATTAATATTATACTTTTTTTTTCGTTTTTAATTCATTGATTTTACGGTGTATTTTACGAAGCCGAATACTTTAATGTTGCGTCATGAATACATGACGTTGGTTAAAATCATCCCAACGTTACATCTGTATCTAAATGCATTACAGCCAATGTAAAAATGTTTAATAAATTTTCTAAATAAAGGCCATTTTAATAGCAAGGAAGAAAAAACCCAAACGTAGAAGAGGCCATAGCATTAAGCGGTGAAAATTCCATTGACGATATTTGCTACGAAAGATATAACGCCTTAATCCATGACTTCGTTCACAAATTACCTGGAGTCACTTCCAAGAACATTACGAGGATTATGAATAGGGGCATCTCTCTTGATCATCTTATTACGTTGTCGCAGGTATTTGCTAAAATAAACGAAAATAATAAAGTCCGAGCGGAAAGAGAACCAGCGTGGCACTGAAACGAATATAATTCTTCAAAAATTATGAACTGTTGTATCAAGATGATAACTGTCGAACTATAGTGACGTAACAGTGTTGCCAATATAACAAAAAAGTTAACTAAGCAGCGTGGCGACCTCAATTCCCACGATAGTTCTCTTTCGTCATACACTAATCTGTATTTTTATACTTTTGTTAGCCTAGTAGTTGCTTGAATTTTTACTCCAGTAGTGTCTTCGAACCTCCTTTGCACCAAACGGACAGGTTTTCTGTGTGGAAGAAACACGAGCACCATAAAAAAAGGCGGAGAGTATACGACTCAAAATCGACGTGTCAGACGCAGAAGGCTGATCACTTGCCTTTAAATAAAAATTATTTTAAAAACTAAAATTTAAATCATACACACCAAATTGTCTGCCCCATTGGAGCAGCAACTTCAAATTACTTGCATTAAACGACTAAACTGGTTTTGTAGCTCAAAACTAGGTTATAACTGTTTGTCTCCATAAAAAAAATATAGTTCGCGCTGTCTTGTTTATCAGCTCTATTAACAATGTAGTTGTTCTAACTAATGAATAATTAATAAACTGAGAAATCGTTTCAGGAAAGTCTTTACAATATTTTGGAAAATAAAAAAGAAGCCGAAATGTTGTATTCCATTCTACACATAAAAGCTAAACCGTCAGACTCAAAGAAGGACGAAAAACCATTCGGAAAAAGAAAATTTGGAGGGAAAGTCTTCAATAAAAAATAATTGTAATTAAATATTCTTTAATTCTGTAATTTAAGTCTGTAATATTTTATAATAAAAAAATAATGTTTCTATTGCATTTTATTTGTTGCAAGCCTTAACGCCAAGTACCTAAAATCATTATTATACTTTAAAATATATTAGGAAACAATTGGTTACCTTACGTATAATTTTTATTACATTATAAGTAATATTGAAGCATAAAATTGTGGATAATATACAAGATTCTTTGACATTGTAAAGGCGAGTTAATTAACAGTACAGAGAAAATTTCTAAACTACTATATGAGTAAAAAGGGACTATTTAATAGTGTACCTTTATTTACCTCAAAAAATCTACTACTACTGCACTACACAAAAAAATCTTTATGGAAAATTATTTAATAAATTATATAATATGTCAAAGGATACCACTGATACGATATTAAAACAAGAAACATACCACTTAAATTACAATATATTATTGTAATATTGTCTTATTTAACACACTAAAAATAAATATTCTATATACGATACAAGGACAATTTTTTTCACAGTCACTCAAAGAGTTATTCCCCGTCTAGTCTAAACAGATCAGTGCTTCCATTTCTACTGTAATTGAAGTAGATTTACTGTAATACACAAGATCAGCCGATTTTAGTCCTACAAGATAAAATCTGAAATTTTAGTACTCTTTCTTTATTAAAAGTAGTAAGGAAGCACTGTTCAAGGCACTGCGATATATGCTTAATCGAATGTCTTTGGAGTATTCCTGAGTCAATATGAATACAAGGATTGCACGAGACGGCGAATGCAAAGGGCCGCGGTCAGCATAGCTATAATAGTGGATATAATAAGATATACGCTGGGTCACTCACGATATTGATGATTCTTGTCGGTAAGGGGGACGTAGATTACACTCATCAATTTCTTTACGGTCGTAGTACCGTCAGCCGCTTTGTCAACCTGAACATAGAAGCAAAATTTAATTAAAAAATACTTTAATTGAATATACGAAATTAAGTCATGTCAAAGAATTTATAGATCCAACAACATTGTGTTATCTTGTCAGCCCATATATAGTATTTAGTAGATATGCGTAACGTATTGGATTTTGGCATACGAGAGTCATAATTCGCGCTCTGCATCTTAGAGCCGATTCGACCAAACAAGAGTAAATCTTAATCTTAGAATAAATCGTCAGTTAATCGAGAGTAAATCAATTTTACGTTTTACCAACTACAAATTCTAAGAATAGTGGGCTTATTCGGGAATAGCTACTATACCGCCGTTTCGCACGGAATAACAGCTATTCCTAGAATAATTTAATGGCGTCAGTCAGTCCAATAAGCTGATTTCTGTCACTTCACAAATATGTATTCTGTGTTTTAATTTCAAGTCAACGCAACGCACTAAATTAATAGTCTGGCATTGTATAATGAAACGTTTAAACAATTTATTATTTATTTATTTATTTTTAGATTTTTTATTTTCATTAATATTAGAATGAAATTCAACTAGGCTCAACAGAAGTTCCTTTTTAGACGAAAGCCTCAAACAAACAAGAAATAAAAACTTTTTGTTGTCGTTTGACACCTGTTAAAAGCTACTTTTTCACTCTATAATACGGCAAAATCGAGTTGACATGATGGATGCTCTTACACTGTACCGTTGTAGAACAACATTTATTTGCCGAGTTTTATTGTCGTTCACCATTCTCTTGCTATTCGCGTATTGTTATTCCTAGCGCAATTATACTATCGATTACGTGGACAAACGACTATGGATTTACTCGAGATTAAAATTATGGAATAGATTATTCTTGGTATAGTTACTCGTGTATAAATTGAAGTTTGGTCGAATCGACCCTAACACTCATAAATCTCGACTGTGTATCTTACACTTAGTGACTCGCGCAAACTTGCAATCATAAAGGTTTACGCAACCTATAGTTATATTTACTTGTGTCAGATGTTGTTCTCCACCTTCAGGTCCAACTGGTACAATTAAGCGCCCACCAGGCTTTAATTGTTCAACTAACTGAAAACATTAAATTTCATATTTATTTTCAGTTTAAAGTGATGAGCTTTTCTAGAAAATACATAATATAATTTAATTAAGGCAGTTTGAAGTAAGTAAAAATATTGTATATAAATACTGTACATGTTATTTAAAAGCAACTATACACACTTCAGTGTGACTTTATTGACTGCATTAATATAAATCATTATCTTACAGCTTGAGGTAAGGTAGGTGCTGCTGCTCCGACATGAATAGCATTGTAAGGAGCCTCGTCAGGGTAACCTTGACGACCATCTCCAGCTTGAATAAAGAATATATAATACTTATATATGTTATATGTTGTTACAGTTCCATATTGAAATGGTTTTTAATTCTTTAAGAGTATTAAAATGTATCTTAAAAATTGATTTGAACTGGAAATCTATACTACTTCTAACAAAAGCTGCTATTAACAAAACATATATACATAATTACTTACTTATAAGCTTAATTCTTTCTGATTTCAGCAGTCCTGGATTATCATTCTTTATGTTTTTTGTAGCTAAATTTACAAGTTCTGATATATGGTCTATACCAACAATCATTCCCTGTTCACCTAACATGATAGCCATGCAAGCTGTTAGGTACCCTGATCCTGAACCAACATCTAGCGCCTTTTCACCTGGTATCAATTGATTTTTCAATCTCTCTAAAGCATGGGCATGCTAAAAATTAAACAATATTAAATTTTCTCTTATCATTGAAAAAAATATCTGCAAAAAGAATTAAAAAGACCTACAGTAGACCCCAATTAAAACCATTTCTCGCAAAATATGTAATTTTACATCAGTCCCAGCAATTTGAGATATTATCCCACAGGCATTATCTGCTGATAATTCTTTAAGACGCTATGTAAATTTTTTGAATCAAAGTGAACATGCACTGCAAAAGTTTAATTATGTTGAAAATCTTGTAATTGCTAATGCAACAAAATCTCAGGCGAATATAAGTGATTACTTTAAATGACATAATTAAAATTACACTATGTATTTAATGTAATTCATAATTAATGTATTTAATACCTACATATACGCAATTAGAACACAATAATATGTAGTTTTATTTTCCCGCATAATACACTTTCTCGCTTAAGACACGTTGTGGTTGGGTTAGGGGGCAGACTATTATACTACTACAATCAATCAATCAAATTATACAGGAAATATCTGTCATTTATTTACTACTACAACATTTAATGATACTAAAGAACAAGCAATAAGTTACCATGTGCGGAGCACTGATGGTGGCAGAGTATCCAATAGATTGTGGTGAGTCATGATAAGGTGCATAAGGACAATAGTTCTTTCTATCAACTGCCAGCATAGCATTAGCAACAGTATCTGATTTTATGATTCCATTGGCTGTAAAATATGTTAAAATAAACAGGTAATAACTGCCCTTAAAAAAAATCAAGTATTTTTTATATGCCAGATTGTAAAGCCCTGGATTTTATTTCTTCAAGGGCTAAAATTACAGGAGTGACGTATTAGATTTTTTCAAAAGGGCTATTTCTAAGAAGGCTTGTAAAATTACATGTAGGTTTGCTTTAGCCTTTAGTTATATCAGATTTTAAAATTTTTAAGTATATATTTCCAACAGGGCTTGCCGAGTTTATTTAACAAATCTAATTTAAAATCAAATGACCCTTTATACCATGATAACTAAAATTTAAGAGTATTTGGTTGAATTTTTGATTTTGGTATTTTACCTCTTAGATTACGTATCATGTCGGCATTGTTAACTCCATGACTTCGCCAAGCCATAGTTGTGAACGAAAAACTAATTACGAAGAGTAAACGTTTATTTATATGACCCAGTATTTTGAATTTGTATCTTGAGAATTCTGATTTTTTCAGCTTATTTGTTTGCAAATTGCAAGTACATATTCAGAAATTTGTTTTGACTTTTTATTTTTAGAAGACAGCAGACAACTGACATTGAGTTCGAGATATCTGTCATTCTATAAACGCTTAAAATTTATATAAAAATAATTCCGGTGTTATATTTATATTTCATAATCTGAATTTTTGAAATGAATAAAATAGTAAAATAGTTTTTTTACATTAGCTGTTATGTACCCAGTGTAGCTATATATTCTAATAAATATAATAGATAGCCATTATTATAATAAAATAATATGTCGATACCGATGTTATTTTTTTTTTTTTTTTATGGCTCTGGCACGGTTTGTGCATTAGCCAGCGTCAAGTACATATAAGATTTTTAGTTCGTGCTTTTTGCCTTAGAAATTCGACCATGTCCTCCATGTACGGTTTAGGCACTCGCCCGGTACCGCACAACCCTCCGAAAGGCCGAGAACAAATTTAAATTAAATTAAAACTTGCCCTCGAACCGGGAATTGAACCCGGTACCCCTCACCTAGCTGCCACTTAATAAGACCGCTAGGCTATGAGCCCCCTACCGATGTTATTAACATTAATAACAAGAAAAAACCCAATAAAAGTTTGCTAACGTTGAATAATTTTAACTAACAATATCGTAGATATTTATTCAATCAGGGGCCTTAGTCAAGATGCCTTAACAGTAGTGTATGTAGAAAGTCGAAAACTTAATTTGTATGGAAATGACAGTTCGTGTCGAAAAGTTTTTTATACAAATTTAGTTTTTGACGTTCTACATACACTATAGTGCTTTTAAAAAGCCGCGGTGATTCTTGAAACTAAATTTGACAGGTCCTCAAAGTTGTCATTCGTCGATGTTTTCAAGTTCGTTTTTTTTGTGCGATTTTTTTGGTTTTTTAACTAGCTTTGTGCATTTTAAAGATTGTTTCCAATCCCAAAAGTTTTAAAAGTTCGGCCGGGGAAAGTTTTTTTAGGGTGAAAGGGTTTTGGGGGGGGGAAAAAAAAAAGCCGGGTGTTTTTCCCCCCCCCCACCCCCCCCGGGGGGGGGGCCCCCCCCCCAACCGTTTTTTTTGTGGCCCCTTTTTTTTTTTTTTTTGTTTGGGGGGGGGGTTTTTTTTTTTTATTTTTGGTTTTCGCGAAAAATAATTTTAAAACTTAGGGGTGGGGGGTTGGGTACCCCCAATTAAATTTTTTTTTTTTTTTTTCTTTTTTTTTTTTTTTTTTTTTTTTTTTTTTTTTTTTTTTTTTTTTTTTTTTTTTTGGGCGGGGGGGGAGAAAAAAAAAATTAAAAATAAAAAAAAAAAAAAAGTTGGGGGGGTTTTTTTTTTTTTTTTTTTTTTTTTTCTTTTTTTTTTTTTTTTTATTTTTTTTTTTTTTTTTTTTTTTTTTTTTTTTTTTTTTCTTTTTTTTTTTTTTCTTTTTTTTTTTTTTTTTTTTTTTTTTTTTTTTTTTTTTTTTTTTTTTTTTTTTTTTTTTTTTTTTTTTTTTTTGTTTGTTTTTTTTTTTTTTTTTTTTTTTTTTTTTTTTTTTTTTTTTTTTTTTTTTTTTTTTTTTTTTTTTTTTCCCCCCCCTCCCCCGGGCCGGGGGGGGGGGGGGGGGGGGGGGGGGGGCCCGGGGGGGGGGGGGTTTTTTTTGTTCGCCGGGGGGGGGGGGGGGGGGGTAATATTGATCTGGATATATGTAGCTGATTGCTTTTTGTAGAGCGCTTTCTCATTTTCGCAGATAGTTCTTTTATTGTTGACGGACTGAACAAAGCTCTATAGTCACGTCAGTTCACAGTTGATACTTGATATATAGTTCATCAGTGCTAAAATAATTAAATAACTAAAGTTGACCTAAAGGTTGTAAATGCCAGGTCATAAAATCCCAAAAAAAAAAAATATAACTAAAGAAAATAAACAAAGCAAAAGTTGTAATTGTTTCTATGTAATTGGTTCTAAGTGGTTGTCTCTCTACAATGGTTTGCCAAGGCCCTGAACCGCCAGATAATTCTGCACAAAACTTAACGCTGCCCCCTAGACACGAGTTGGTAACAAATGGGCATCAAGAAGATAGCGATGATGAACAAAACGAACACTTTGGATACGAGCCGTTACCTCAAGGTCCCGAAGCAGTACATTCTGATCATGATAGTGATGACGACTGTGGCGTAAATGTAAGTGTCTATAACTTCAATTCTTTTCACTATTCGAGGATATATTGCTTTTCGAGTACGTAATTATATCTTTGGATTTCCTACTTTTACAGTAACTTAATATCTACTAATACAATAGAAAACTTATTAATATAAAAATTAAACTAAAACCATAATACATATAAACAAAACAAAAACTAATTATATAAAATGAAATTCTTGTGAATTCATCCAGTGTGCAACCAAATATATCCGACACGCGTAAATGGCGTTTCTCTGTGTAAATTGGTACGCGCTCTAGAATCTAGACACTGCAAACAATTACCGCTTACCACGCCGATTGTGATTATTTGACACAGGCAGCCCCAGTATGCAACATTATATATCTAAGGACCGTAAAAATATGTGATAGTAAGGTGCCTCTTTACACCTCTAACTTGTATCCTACCATACCCAAGACAAACAAAGTTGGATACATAATTGGGTAAAATGGTTACACTCCATAAAATGTACATGTATCTCGTAAATTTATTTTGAATATGCTCCAACATCAAAGGATATTATTTTTCTCGTGGGGCCCAAATCATAGAGTTATATACCTAGTGGCTCATAACAATTATTGCATTATACAATGCCATTACCGCTTTTATATTTGAGAAAAAAAAACCTAAATTTCTATAAGCTTTTTTTCAAATGCTTCTTATGTTAAAAATTACGAAAATTTAATTTGATTCTTTGACTTCTGCTACTCTTGGAATTGGCTGTTCCTCTATGTAATAATAGTAGAAAATCGGTGTCTGTGCTCTGGAAAAAGAAATAACAGCACATTACGCAGATTTAAGCTGCAGTCAATTTTGTTTCCATATTAGAGTAGTATTTACATAATATATGTATTCTAGGAAGCTCAATCAGGAGAAACCCCACCTGACATTCCTCCTATTGAACCTATGGAGAGTATACTGGCCAGAGAGGTATGGTGTGCACCAAGAACTTCAGATCCTATACAGATGGACAATGAAAGAGCTCAACAGGTTAACTAATGATTTTAATTATTTCCCTGCAATTACAACTTTTATGTTTAGGTACTTTATATTAGACAGATTAATTGTCTATGATGTGTATCATTAGAAAGAAAGTTTATTAGTATTTAGTTGATTGATATACATAATTATATTTACTTTGATGAATAATATCCCTAAGATTTGCTTGTTAATCTGTACCAAATGATTTCACTATTTTAAAAATATTGTTTTTTTGGTAAATTGATGGTTAATGTTCTCAAATGACAATTTAAAAAAAAATATTACAGATACTACAGGGTAGCTTTGAACATAAATTACAAGCCTGTATAAAAATTTAATATCTAACTATGAGCTCATGATATTTAGGAACAAAACTAATTAAATCAGACACATTTAGAAATTATATAATAAAGTATGAAAATTGTTCATAGCCCTCTCCTGTTTTAATTTTTTTAATCAAATTGTTTATGTTTATGATCCAGTTTTGAAATATAAAGAAATTTGTTCTAGATCACATAACATATTCAGTTCTTATATTTACAGGTAATGTTGGCTATGGCCAATTTTGCATTACCACAGACATCCATTCCTGAATGGGCTCAGAGTATAACAGAAGAACAATGGAAGCAAACATTACAAGATAGAATAGAAAAACTAAGAGAAAATAGATAAAATATTAAAAACTACACTAGAAGTTTCATTCAATAAATTAACAGATATGATAAAACATGTTATAATATCATTATATGTTTATTATAATATAATTAATATTGGTAAAACATTTTTATGTATTGAACATATTAGGAGATAGATCATCTGGTTTATACAGTCAGGCGTAAAGGATAATAAAAAAAATAGTTAAATAAACATTTAATTATTGATTAATGCCACCATAATGGAAATAAACAGAGATATGACTAGTTGTGTAGTCAAACTAGGTCAAATAAAAGGAAAAAATTTACAATACTGGAAATTGGAGTAAAAGTTTTGATACTTTTTTTTCCTTATAGGGCTGATTCTTTTGATATATGCAAAATTATAAAAATTTTCAATGATAATTTTTGAAAATGTGCGAATGTGGGGTTTGAAATTTAGATGAAAATCAATTATTTTCTGAGTTTATTAATTAATTAAGAACTTTAAAATGGTTCCAAATACTCACATTCCAAAAAAAGTCTTCAACCAGTATTTATAATAAACCTTTCCTCTATTCATTAACGATTTGTTCTATGAATTATTTTAAATTTTTATTAATGTTCACAAGATTTTCCTATTCATGATCCTTTTGAGAGAAAGAAACAATGTAAAATCATTTATCTTGTTTCTGATCAATTCTAAATCAAAACTATCCAAGTTTATTTGTGGTATAAGAAACCCTGAAATAAACAAAATTTAGTATAATACATAATATAATAACACGAAGAATCCCATAAACAAAGTATCAAGACGTTATTCCTACTAACCAGTCAACGCTTGCACATGGCTCAATATCGATGATTGTGTATGTTCTGATCTTGTTGATCAAGTATTCTTTATAAACATTGAAAACAATATGTCTTGCTTGCGATCGAAGAGGTTTCTTCGACATTTTCATCACTCTTTTAAAGGAAATTTGAAGCCAAACCAAAAACAATTCCTCGAAATTTCAGTTGAAGATGAAATTTTTCTTTTATTGCCATATAAAATCGCTAATTTAAAAAAAAAAAATTCATAATTCTGGTAGACCTATACTTACAGCTATATAAATATTTACTTGAAATTATAAAATTTAAATCAATATAGATAGATATACTACTGTAAAAACTTTGTTATTCAAAAAAAAGTTTAAGTTGTGTCAAGCATGTTACAGCTATACAAGAAAATAACTCACTGTTTTATAGGTAAAAAAATTGCCTTGTTACTAAGTAACAGTTAAGTAAAATGAAATAAAACTAAGACTTCCAAAAAAAATATATTTTAAGTTTGGAATGATTTTGGATTTAAAATAACTGCACTAAATGTTACGAGTTTTGTCCTCTCATTACGTATAAACATAAAGAATGGTGTATCTGCATAAAATAATTCGGCAGATCGAGCTAATACCCCACTGGTTGCTGCCACGGCTTCAGTTCCATATTCTAAAAAGAAAGGAGCAAATAAATTCGAAACATACTAAATATTAATCAATTTTCAAACATAATAATTTATCAATTTAATATACATATTAATCTAAACGCGTTATGGGTTATATAATAAATTATTTCTGTTTAATTTGCATTTCTTAATTTCTTTGTCCCCTCAACAAAATTTTGAAGACTGAAGCTACTTCTTTATGATTTTGTTAGAAAACATTTGTAGGAATTAATTTTAAGCCTTAAAATTACGGTTATTAATAATATATTTTTCACAACTGTTTACTTGTTATCGTATAAACAAAATATATTATATTTTCAAAAACAATATTCGTCTTCGCCGACATCGTAATTTTAATTTTCACAAGCTTATGTCCGTACTTAAGCGACAATATTTTTTACCATACATTCATCATTAGAAAAGCAATATTATTCTTACCATCAACAGTGAGTTTGACGTCATGTAAAACTGTATCCACATATACTCCTGGATTAGGAAGGCTATCTACAACTTCTTTTAAAGATCTTGAATCATCAATATCTCCTGTATTAATTCTACTAACTATTTCGTTTACTGTTCTATTGACCACTCTATTGTTATCTACCATTAGAGCAAAATTTGCTTGTCCAGGTTTAAAAATATTTCTCACACCGATTGCCTTAAGAGATTCTTCTAAATTCTCAGTCCTCTGCAGGTCCATCTTTGGGTATCTTATAACACATTTCCTATTTTCCATTTTCGCGATAAGAGCGTCTATTTTGTTGAAGTCTAATCTATTCAGGAGTTCTGTTAAATTGAGATCGTTTGGTCGACGCGGTTTTAAGGCGTACATTGTAGTCACACTATCGTTGTATGGTAGAGCAATCATGTGTAAATCTGTAAAGCAGATTATATATTAGATTTGCCTGAAACTTTTTGGATAAATGTCCCGGATATTAAAAATGCTCATAAAACAATCTAATTATTTAACACATACATACATACACACTGGCATCAAATATATACTTTGGTGTACTCCGGTAGCTTTTTACGAGTGTACTGTACTGACTGTAGCTTTGTAAACCAATAAAGCTAACAGTAAATACCTATGAGAATTCTTCAAAATCAGTTCTGTTATAATGTCAGAGAACTAATAATAGAATTTCCTTTCTTGATTTAAAGGGACACTACTTAATCCTATGAATAAGTTAAAACATAATTTACCATCGTTATGTGAAAAAATATACGGAAAACTGCCCATATTCAGCATTTGTTCAACCATTACATCTTCAGTTAGCCCTTTGAATGGGAGCCTGAAATATGTAAATAGATTTGCTGACACTCATGATATTAATTGTTTTAAAGTGCTACGCATAAGGTAACTTACTTTTTTGTATATTCTATTAAAAACGGATACTTCCATTGTCCACTGAAGTACAGGGCACTAAGTAATACAACTTTTGTTTGAATAGGAAGAGCTTCTTTTAAGAAATTTGGTATTTTCCCTTCTGTATTATTATAGACCCAGCTGAAATATAAAATAAAGAATCCACCGTCATAGTCATAATTACAATATACAAGAAGACTAACTAATTTTGTTTTTATAAATGTACAATGTCTTGGCTATGTTGATATTTTGTCATTTAATGTATTGAAATTCTAATTAAAATCGGAAGTTAAGCGTTGAGGATGTTTGCAGGCACAGAGAGCGAATCGCCTTTGACCAAAACATTTGATATCCATAGGGTTTTAAAAGCCAATAAAATATATTTTATTCTTTATCTTTTGAGGGACCTTTACTTACTCATTTATAAGGTCTTTTGCTTCTTGTGGATTTTTAAAATCGGTAGTTAGAGCATCCCCGCCGTACACCCTGTTTAGGTATATACGGTAAGCTTCCCGAAGTATGGAGGTCTTATCAGAAAAAATTACGTCAGCATACGTGGTTTTACTCGATGTATCATTTATATTTAAAGACCGCAATAAATCACCGAAATGATCGTGGTTTTCGCGGTTACGTCTAACATCTGAAATATATTATTATTTAGTTACGAGTTGCGGTTTTAAAAAAAGCAACGAATGAAATAAATGTTAATAATGTATTTCTGAGACATAATTATGCTTAACTCTTGTAAAGAAAATAAGAATTTGAGTCTACAAAAGACACTACTTTATACATATAAAACGTATTCTTGAGAGCTCACCTTCGGAAAATCCAAGTACGCGGGCAAGTTCCTCGTACGATTCACCGACACTCCCTAACAACGCCATTGCAAGCAATCCTGCATCAGATAATTAAGAATTCAATGGTAGAAGTCAATCTTATGATTAATTCATATTGCACCTTCTATTGTCCCTATTGCATCAATAATCTATAAGATAATACTATACTACAATTAATACATGATACTATTCTGCGCAGGTACATTTTGAACACAGATAGGTAATTAAATATATAAACATACTTAACTTCGATTTTCTATTTAAATTTTCAAAAGTAACTTTTATTATACAGTTAAGTACTTCATATTTTAAAATAAGTTACCAGTTAGAATTTGGGAATTTCAAGGCTTAGTCATATTATTGCCTCTCCTTATAAGACTGGAGCAAATATTATTTATTTACGATGACATGGTTGTTAAATCCTTTTCAATGTGACGTTTTACAAATATGTATATAACACACATTCATCTTACCTGTCTTATATAAGATATATAAATAAATAAATAGATACCTACATTAATAATAATTATTTTAATGGATTCATGCGATGTATCCGTTTTTAAGTAAAGTTCCACCTAACAAACCTGTAGGTATTCTTTCTATGTAAGGTCGACGATAATACAAGTGTATATTACTTGTACCAGCAGTTGAGGTATATAGAAGCCAAGTTGACAGATTGGTCGCTGTCACTACGTCTCACCGAATATTAGTTAACTGAAACTATCTTCCTACTGTTCCCAGTATCAATTTGAGCTGATAGCCATTATAAACTCAACGGAATCTGTCTACACCTACGCCTACAGAATAAGTATATAGTGATTGCCTGCACTTAAAACCCTACCTATAATAGGAATAAGCTCTTTCATCCTCAATGTTAACTATAGTTAGAGTGACGGTACAACATGTCTGAATAAAATATAAAAAAACTAAACAAGTTTAAAGTTGTTGTAAAAAGCTGTAACGAAATAAAGATATCTGACATCGTTAAAATAATAAAATAAAGAATACATATTACTCGACACCCCTGACGAGAAAATAGGAGAAGGATCCGGAAAAAAACTATAAAGTATGATTATAAACTGGTTTATTTTACTACAAGGAAATTATTTACTTCCTTTATAGTGCTTTTAAAATATTTAAGTAGGTCTTATAATAACTAGGACTATAAGATTCATTATTTAATTTTATCTGTTATTATTTGCTATGACGCGATGCGCAAGCTTAGAGTTTTTAGATCGGGTAGGCAAAAAAATTTAAAAGTAGAAATTTACTAGTATAATACAAAACGCCGCTATTATACTGGTATTACACTGTTGTGCAGCCTTGAATATCCATGAATTTAATCGGCCATACGAGCAGTAGGCGCAAATGTATGTTTAAAATATTTTAAGTTAAGTGTATATTGTATATATATATAATATATATATATATATAATATATACAGTAGTAGTATAATATATACAATAGTAGTATAATATATATAGTGCACGACACTACTTGTTTTTTGAAATCTCACAATATTACATTTAAAATAGACATACAATTCTTTTAATATACATGCAGCACAGCGTACCTAGACTCGAGCCGCCTAATCCGCTGTACGTACAATCGCCGGTGTTAACTATTATTTTATTTTACGGAAACAATATTGTTCGATAAATGATGATTCTAGTCTTAATTCCCGAGTGTTTCACTCTCTCACACCGAGCACTCTCTACATACATAGGAAGGTATACAATTCCCCTGCAGAACCTAAAAATACTTTATTAAAAGCTCACCAGAAATGCCTGCTGGAGAAACAACAATATTTTCGTTTTCATTTCTTCTCATCATTTCCTTGATAAGCTTAAATCCGAATTCATTTACGGATGATGATATTCTTTCATTTTCAATTTGATTGGGTATTTTGACTCTGTGAATATTTATACATAATTATATTATTGTTACTAAATGTAAAATACACACAACTTAGGATAATAAAATTTAGTTAACGTATAATCATAGTTACTTTCGTAGCAGTTTTGCTCCGTGATGTAAAGTAAGTTAGTATAAATAGTGCTGACCGTACTTTGTGTACAACCATTAAAGTAAATTATGTACTTTAATTACGTCCTTGGTACAACACATGTACATAGGAAAGCTAAAGAGAAATTTATAAAAGTTTATATCGTGAAGTCTTATCTATTCTGTTTTGAGGTTTAAGCGTGCACACACAATAAAATAAGATAGATATTAAATATTATAGAAATAGGTACATACCCCAAATCTGAATATAGTATATCTTCCGAACTAGCCAAACTAATTAGGGTAATCCATAGAACTAGTGTGAAGCGTGACTGCATTTTTCCTTGTAAAAATAAATAAAAATAAGTAAGTACCTAGCTAAATAATTTTGATTCAAGCATGAATCCGGAACGAGATACGCATAAAGTGAAAGTTATGTCTATGACCGCTAATCAACAATCTCTGCTTATGGTAGAGACAAAAGCAATATGCAATTACATATTGCATACAATAATAGGTCTTCAACAATTAATAGTAAAGTATTTGAAATCGATTTATTCTATAAAATAACGCAGTATATTCCGTGGTGCACCACAAAAGTTCCCAAAGTAGGTACTATTTATTGGTTGACAAAACAAAGACATCTGCGCATCTAACTTATGTTTGCTGGAAACCCCACCTGACCAAATAAAAATTCTAAATAAATTTAAGGAAATCATTTGCCAGAGGCTATCAACTTGACCTCAAGAATGTGATAGGTATATAAAGTTACTCAATAAAAACAGGGAAATATAATAGTGAACATATTACTGTCATTTAACGGTTATTACCTAGATATCTCTGCAATTAATAATAATTCGATTATACACACTTAACACTCCAATTAATGTTATAACACATCGCTTATTCAAAGCTTTTAATCTTAGTTTTGTCCGATATAAAACAACGCATAACCCGCGTCCGTTCTCAAACAACTTGTGAAAACAACTAAAGAATAAAGATTTAAAAAACTAAAGTTACAGTCTAGTGAATTGAAACAACCAACCTTGAAGCTTAGTTTGATGACACTGGGAATTGGCAAATAAGGTCGATTGCGGAGACGAGACGTTGTGTTGTAACAAAAAAAATGCGCGCGTTAGTGCTGGTAAATCCAAATCCCCGTTAGGTATTTCCGAGTTTACGAGCAAGTATAACTCTAATTCTGAATAAAATTATAATATTTACACGGAAATGATATTGTCAAAGGACACTTCATCTGTCCGTTGGTAACAAGTAATATGAATCTCAATCCTCGCGATCGAGTTTCTTAGATCACGGATGTCAAATGGTTAGAATTAATCTTCTATAGGTACATATTCTTCTATACTTACAATAAAATTAAAATAACGAATAAGTTAAAGAGAAGAAATTAAACACAAAAAGTTTTAATAAAATAAATCAGTCTATACCAAACGTATTCATTGTTTTAAATAAAAATATATAAGTATTAATTATAAATATTAATTATAGTGCACTCTGTAAAAAATTTAAGCCATGATTTATTGACATCCGCGGTCAAGAAAAAAAACTTATTTACATATAGTAATTATAATTGAGAAGATTTGTCGCTATTTTGTGATAAAATTGCATAGTAGACGTCACTAACAGTGTCATCTCAAAAATATCTCGCTATTCCCTGGTTTCTACACCAATTTAAATAGTTCTATAACTGCAAAGTACATCATGATCGTAAAAGCTCAAAATAAGTCAATAAAAAAAGTCAGTATAAAAGCAATAGACGCCAGACGGTGCCGTAATACATAATAGTATCGTTGAGTTTGTAGAGAAAGGTGCGGCTTTTCCGTCAACCGAAAGAGAGAATCCTTGACCTAACCACTGGCTGGCCGGTCCGAAGACCCGTGGCTAAGGTCGAGAAGTTATATGTATCCTAACCTTTAGATGTCCATTAATCACGTGATGTTTTTTTAACCCCTCCCTCCCCCATGGTGATACGTGGTGAGGTTTAAGACTAAACCAAAAATCACGTGTATTTTTTAGTACCTACAAAGAATCTTAAATTTTTATAATATTATTTTTAAGTACCAGTATAAAGTATAATCTAATCCTATTCTAGAAAATTAAGGACCATGATAAAAATGTCTAGACAGAAAGGAAGCAGGTTGTTTTTGACTGGCATAAAAATAATATTAAAGGAATGGTGTAATCATGCGAAAAACATATATTGTATTAGTACATGAACTTATTTAATGAACATTTCCATAGATTAGCAAGACATCCTTCAATACTAACAACTGGATAAGCATCTTGCAAGTCAGTTGTTGGCACTGTATACTTTGTTGAAGATCAACGTCGGTATTATCAAGCCATCTCTCTCGATCTACTGATCGATCGTTTTTCTAAACCGCTTTTCGGTTTAGAAATCACGCGTTTGACGGAAAAATAAGTACACGTGATAACTTACTATACCCCCCTCCACCTTGGAATACTTGGCGTAGCGCAAATTCGGCCCTACATGGAGTACTGTTCTCACCTCTGGGCGGGGGCTCCCGGCTCCCCAGTACCAGATCCTTCCACTTATTCAACGAAGAGCGGTTCGAATCGTCGACGACCAATCCCTCTCCGAGCGGCTTGATACTTTGGCGTTGCGTAGGGATGTGGGGTCACTATGCATCTTCTACCGCATTTACCATGGAGAGTGTTCAGAGGAGTTGTTCGGATTAATACCTGCAGCTGAGTTTCATCATCGGACGTCGAGGCAGAATACGAAATTCCACCCGTATCACCTCGACATCCACAACTGAGCGTTTTTCAAGGCAGTTTTTGCCGCGCACTACCACTTTGTGGAACCAGCTGCCCACTAAAGTATTTCCGAACCAATTCGACTTAGGGTCCTTCAAGAAAAGAGCGTACCAATTCTTAAAAGGCCGGCAACGCACTCGCGAGCCCTCTGGCATTGAGAGTGTCCATGGGCGGCGGTATCACTTAACATCAGGTGAGGCTCCTGCCCGTTTGCCCCCTGTTCTATAAAAAAAAAACCTTGTGATATTTCGTGATTTTTGCAGAACCCCTCACCCCCTTCGAACCTCACCTGATTTATGGTCGTGACTCGTAATACCTTTGTTAGCGCATTCAGGGTATGACGTCATCGTAGTGATTTTATAAGTGCAGATTGTAGGTGTCGCTACAAGATTATTTTGTCAATGAAAGTAGCGGCTAAACTTTCCAATATGGACCATCGATTTGAATGCCCATATTTTTTTTGTACATAATACTCACTAAAAGAAAGCGTTTTGCAAAGTTTTAAGTTGCGGAAACTTACGGTTCATGAGATACATTTTTTTTTACTTTCCATACAAATTTGACAAATAATTGATGTTAAACGTCAATTTACGTGGAAAGTTTAACCGCTAAAATTTACGCACTCCACGCACTCTGGGCGGCTAACATCGAATGTGGTTTGGAACGTTAGAAACTGGCGGTTTAATAAAAATACCAGCGCTCAGGCCCCTTGCGCACTAGCGGTCAACCGCGGGGGCGGCTAACCGCGCGGTCTGCCGCTTTCCCAGTTTAATATGCAACCGCCTGTGATTGTACGCACTTGACCGCCGCAAAGTTTCAACCGCGGCGGTTGAATGGAGAGCTGCGGCCCGCTCCGCGGCTGGCCGCAATCTTGCTTGTACGCACTTGCGATTTCGGTTTGCGGCGAGCCGCCGATGAGTTAGTACGTGAGCCGCAGTCATGAACTTCGACACAGAGAAATTCATTGTTGAAATTCAACAACGAGAATCAATTTGGAATTGTCAAGGAGCAATATATAGGAATAGAGATTGAAAACGGAAACAATGGGAAGAATTAGTAGACATTTTTGAAAAAGATGAGATGACAACAGAGGAAAAAAGAAGTCTTGGTAAGTATTTATTATTATTATATTTATATAAACGAAACTACACATACATTCAACATCTTAAAACATTATAAATACGTCTATTTTCAATTAAATCATATTTCTTTGCCATTCTAATTTCCCATCAGTCATAAAATATTGGGCAAACAATTCTCTGTATCTCAAAGCAGTTTTAGCGTTCCTTCTTAACCCTTCCTGTGTTAAGTTTTCTGTCAAAGGGCAACTGAGTGAGTCGTCGTAACAATAACCATCTCGGTCTCTTACAAAATTATGTAGTACACAAGTAGCTTTTATAATATCTTTTGCTAGATCAAAGTGAACATTTAGAGGTCTATGAAATATACGCCACTTGTTTGCATAAATTCCAAAACTGCATTCTACATATCTTCTTGCTCTAGAAAGCCTGTAATTGAACGTTCTTTTAGTTTCATCCAAATCTTTTTTTGCGTATGGGCGCATCATATTCGTAGATAATGCAAATGCCTCGTCGCCTACAAAAACGTATGGCATACATGTCTCGCTGTTTTGTGAAATAGGCTGTGGCTCTGGAATATCCAATTGTTTTTTTTGCATTCGTAGAAAACAGAATTTTGAAATATTGACGAGTCACTGAATTTACCAAAAGCTCCAATATCAACCATAACAAATTTGAAATTACTGTCGCATACTGCTAATAAAACCAAAGAGAAAAACTTTTTATAATTAAAGCACATTGAGCCACTGTTATTAGGTGCTATACATCGTATGTGCTTGCCATCGACAGCACCTAAGCAGTTAGGAAAATTAGCTCTTTGAAAAAAATCATTCGCAATTTTTTCCAAGCGTTTTTTGGTTGAGGCAAACAAATATCTTTCAGACAAAACCAAATTGCAAAACAAACTTCTCGTACGATTTCTGCTACAGTGCTTACTCCAATTTTGAATGTATAATGTAGTTCCGCAAATGTACAACCTGTTGCAAAATATCTGAAACAAAAATTTTATAAATACTACATGCATTATTTAATTCAATTTAGATATGTACCTATATTATACTTCTATTACTTTATGACATCATTAACTTGTTTGTTGTATTGTTCTAGGAAAAGAATTACAAAAAAAATGGAAAAACATCAGGGATAATTTTGTGAAAGCTCTAAAGGACAATGTTAGCAGGAGTGGGTCAGCAGCTAAGAAAAAGACTCAATACATATTTTACAATAATTTATTGTTTTTGAAAGACACAGTATCCATCAATGAAACTGATTCAAATATGCCAAGGCAAGAAAATGATGGAAATGAAACAGAAAATGTCACTGACCCAGTCATACCACCACCGCCAAAACGAAATAAAAAGAAAAAAAAGAAGATGATATAGGAGTTGAATTGATTAACGTCTTAAATAAGAATGTCGAGTTCAGAAAGGCCGAAGAAGATGAAGATAGACTGTTCTTTT